ACAACCTCAGGAGATTCCTGGACGAAATACAAAACTGTCCCTCTTACCCAGAGGACACGGAGAGACCAAAAAAAGAGGAAGGGCATTCCAGACGGGTAGGTGGCAGGTTTCACAACTAAAGGAACTTACGAGACTTGTCTTGCGCGCTGCAAGATGAGCAGATCTCCACACCACCCACCAGAATAGCAGACGTTTATACAGAAGCCTGAACGGGATTCTGCCACATATACCATCCAGGTGGTCTCAACAACACACTACTCTCTCAAGGCTGCATCCTTGAAAATGGCTCTAGCTGTGGGAACCGTGGGCTGAACGTTTATTTGAAGGACGGGAGGGGATGGGGAGTTTCCAGTTGCCTGGTTCCAGCTCATGGGTCAACCAGTGGTCACATCCTCTCAGTGACTTCCTACAGCAAGGAATAACATATCATTCAGATTACCTGTAAATTGTGATACACAAAGGCTGGCATTAAATTAAAACTTAACAGGCATGCTAAGAGAAAGGAGCAAATAGGCATAAAATATGTGAAAATACAATAGAAACAGACCCACCAGCAATCCAGATATTGGAGTTATTAGCTATTGAAATAATTGTTTAGTATGTTCATGAGACGGGGAGAATTTCACCAGAAAAGTAAAATCTATGAGAAAGAGTCCATGTTTTAAAACTTTCCCACAAATAAAGCTCAGAGCCTTCCATGGGTGAATTCTACTAGATACTCAAGGAAGAAATAATGACAACATTACATAAGTTCTTCTGGAGAATAGAAAAAGAAGGAACACCTCACAATTCCTTTTACACGACCTGCATAACCTTGATACTAAAACCCATCAAAGATATTCAAAGAAAAAAAAATGCAAATCTCCTTTATAAATATAGACCCCAAAATTCTAAACAAATGGAATTCAGCAAATATGAAAAGGGCAGTTCATCACAACCAAATTTAATTTATTTCAAAAATTTAAGGTCAGTTTAACACTTGAAAATTCATTCACTTAACCTGTGAATTTTACCACATTCATAGAAGAAAGGAAAAAACTCCAATTTTCATCTCAGGTGATGCTCAAAAAACATCTGGTAAGAGTCAGCATGCATTTATAATTTTTAAAAGTTCAACAAAATTAGGAATAGAAAGGAATTTCCTTGATATAGTGAAGGGTATATTTTTAAAACCTACCAAAAAAAATCACAAAATGGAATATTGAACGTTTTATCCCTGAGATCTGGAGGGTAACAAGAATGCCAGCCATTTCCACTTTGATTCAACCTTGAACTAGCCAAGGGGGAAAAGGCAAGAAAAAGAAACAAATAGGATAAAAAAAAAAATGGAAAGGAGGAAAAAAAAAAACTGTCACTATTCACATATAACATAATTATACAGAAATCTGAAAGAATATATATGATCTATTAGAATTAATAAGTGAAGTTATCAAAGTCACTGAGATAGGTCCGAAAACAAATTGTATTTTTATATTCCAGCTAAAACATTTTGAAAATAAAACTTTTTTAACATGACATTATTTTTAAATATTTTTATTTAAAAAGTGAATACCAAGAAATAAATCTAATGAGAGATGTTTGAGACTCGATATAAACAGCAAGCTCCTACTGTATAGCACAGGGAACTATATTCAATACTTTGTAATGGCCTATAATGAAAAAGAATTTGAAAAGGAATGCATATATATGTACAAATGAATCACTATGCTGTACACCAGAAATTAATACAACATTATAAACTGACTATACTTCAATTTAAAAAAACTCAATATAGAAAGCAAGAAAATATTACTGAGAGAAAATAAAGAACACTTAGATATAGAGAGAAATTTCCTAATTAATAATGGAAGACTCAAAGCTGCAAAAAATGTCGGTTTTCCTCCATGTTGATCTATAGATTTTCTGCAATCTCAGTCAAAGTTTTTCCTGAAAATTTTTAATGGAAAATGACGAAGTGGTTCTAAAATCGGTATGAAAATTCGAGGAGCCTAAAATAGCCACAGCAATCTTGAAGAACAGCAACACTGGCAGGGTGGTGGGAAAAGATGGTAAACCATTCTTTACAGTAAATGGTTTTTGAGTAAATGAGACACCCAGATTTTAAAAAATGAATCTTAAATTCTATCTCACACACACACACACACACACACACACACACACAAACATATCAATTCCAGATAGATTAGACTCAAATGTGGAAAGTGAAACACTAAAGCTCCTAGAATACAGTGCAAGAAAATATCCTCACGGCCTTTCCTAAACAGAACACAAAAACCAGTAAGCAAAGAGGGAAAAGCATGAGAACTGTATTATTCTGTTCATCTAAAGACAACTTAAGGTGAGTGGAAAATAAAGGATGTTTGCAACTCACGTATTAGACAAAGGCCTTATATTTCAAATATACAAAGAACAACTGTAAATCAACTTTAAAAAACAGCAACCAGTTTAAAGAATGGACAAGAGACTTGTAAAAGAGGACATCCAAATAACTGATAAACTTATGAAATACTATCCAGCATCATTAGTAATTAGGAAAACCCACTTTAAAAGCCACAAATGGAATGTCATTACACACCACTATACTGGCTATTTTTGGAGGGGGGTTCCAAAACAGACTACCAAGTATTGGTGGGGATGGAGAATAATGAAAACTCTCCAACACCGCTGGTATAGATGTAAACTGTGCAACCACTTTGGAAAACAGTTTATCATCATCCACTAAATCCGAAGTTATGCACATCCTTTGACCCAGCATTTCTACTTCAAGTTACACAGCTCACAGAAATACCTGCTTATGAGTACCTGACTCTTGCAAGAAGTTTATGGCTCATTATTTGAAATAGCCAGAAACCGAAAACAGTACAAATGTCCCCCAACAGCAAACGGGATAAAGAAATTGTGTTATATTCAGAATAAAAATAAACTACAGCTATTCAAAAGAACAGACAAATCTTGAAAACATAATGTTGAAAGGCAGAATGCAGGCACAAAAGGATACTAACTGTATGACTCCACTGATATAAATCTCATAAAAGGAAGAATAGGTTACCTTTTGGGAAAAGGTAATGACTGGGAGAGACCAAGAGGGAAGTTTACAGGGTGATGATAATTTTTTTTAACCTGAGTGATAGTAATATGGTATGTTTACTTGGTAAAAATTTATCAAGCTAATCTATATAACACATATATCTTTGTGTGTATACAGGTGCATGTGTGTGTGTGTGCATGTGTGATACTTCAAACAATGTTCATTTTGGAAAATGCCATGGGAAAGAACATTAAATGTGTATTGAAGAATTTCTAGAGCCAACACTTTGCTAGTTGGGTGGCCTGTGTCGCAGTGGCCCCCTTTCAGGAGAGGGCAGAGTCGGTGAGATGTGGTGATGAGAGCTCTCAGATATGTCCCACTTGAGCACAATCCATGTGTCTCCTTTGCAAACAGCAGGGCAGGAATAGGCTGTTGTCCTTCCAGGGTTGGAAATGGATTCACACTGATTTATCTCTATTTTCTCATCTTCCACCCCCCACCACAACCACCAGTAAATATGGTCATTTATTTTATAGTGCTCAGGCAAATTGGGGCTGCAGTCTCCTTCCCTGAAAAGGACACAGATCCCTGCAGTGCTTTGGGACCAGCTTTCCTGATCCCCGGTCTGACACTGCCATGCTTTAGGAGAACAGTCCAGATGACAGATACAGCCATAGAAGTCATGGACACATGGATAGTAGGTGAGGGATGGTTCTCAAGGCAGTCACGCTGAGAGTGTGAGTGGGAAGTGGGGGGAGACGGCTGAGACCAGAACCCTGGATAGATAAACACCAGCAGTTAGAGAGTGCAAAGACCTAGAGGTGCCAGCATAAGGGGGAAAAAAAAAGACTGCAAATGTGCAGTCGTGGAGGTAAAAGGACACCACAAAATTAGGAGAAGGCTGTTCTAACAGGTCTACATAGTCTCTCCAGGAAGACTCTGATTCTCTGACCTAAATGAAGCTGCTCTACCTTTCCAGCCATTGACCTCTTTCTGGTCCCCTGTGACACCATGTCTGCAATATATCATTTGCATTCATTATATCCCATAGAGTGTGTATGGAGTGTTTTAAAATACAGCCAATTGTGGGCTCAAGGTTATCTCCAGGGAAACCAGCAGGCTGTCTCCTAAGAAGCCTCACAGAGTGACATTCTTTAGCTTAATGAATATATCCAGGTCCAAGGTTTGTCTCCTGGACTTGCAGTCTCAGACACCAAATGTGCCATCACATCGTGAGTAAATTGTTTCCTAGAAAGGACTTACATGACCAGGTTTATTAAGACCCACTCACTTGGAGCTAGTACAGAAGAGTAATTATGAGCTTACATACTGAGGCCAGAATACCTAGAGTCAGTCTCCAACTCCACCACTTGCTGACAGTGCAAACTTGGACCAAGTCCTGAACCTCTCTGGGCTACATTTCCTTGTGCGCAAAATGGAGACGTTAATAGTAACATCCTCAAAGATGGCTGTGATGATTAAATGAGTTAATACATACAAAGTGCTCAGAACAAAGCCTGGCACATGGTAAGCACTCAGTAAAGGTTAGCTATCATTTTTTAAATTAAGTTAGAAAAATAATTTATTAACTTGTAATAACAAATATGTGTTCCAAGGAAGTTATATTCATCAATCTAGCTGGCCGTGTCTGTGCTTGGTAAACCTAGAGCCTGACCGAGTAGACTTCATCACAGGATTCAAATAATGAGCAACAGTAGAGCATGATGGTTAAGAACATGAGCTTTCAATCCTGGCTCCAGTGCTTACTAACCGTGTAACCTTGAGTGATTTCTTTAACTTCTCTAAGCCTAAGTTCCCCCTCTGTACAACAGGGGTGATGATATAGGGTCTTAATCACAGGTTGTGGCTAAAATGAATGGAAAACTTCTACCCGAGGCTTCACACGGTGCCCAGAGCACAGAAACCACTCAACCAACAGTAGCTCTTGTTCTTAATATTTAGCCCAACTCACCATTCATTTTGTTATCCTCATCTACCTCTCAAAACAATCAGCCCCTCTTTCTTTCTTATCCTTGTTTTATTTTCTTCAACACCCAGATAGCCTCCTCTAATGTTATGATCCTCATACAAACTCATTTCCACATCTGGAGGGATGAATCGATAATCAACATAGAAGTGATATGAGAAGGTTAAAGGACTATACGATGTTAACCACTAATAACAATAATAATAAAAAAAATTATATGTAATTTGAGAAGAAACACATAGTTAAGAGAAACATAACAGATCCTAAAATAGGGTATCTTAGATTCCCCATCCACAAATTAGGGACATGATGACTTTTCTGTAGCACTGGCCTGAGATGTAAAATGAGGGGTATAAAACTCCTTGAAGGGATGCATCCTGTAGAAATGGCAAACAGAATGTAACCCCCATGTGGGAGAGATAGGAGGCAGCTTGTTTCTGGCAGCACAGCATTAAGGTGAGCAAAGAAGCACAAAACGAAACCAGAATTGGCTCTTCAGATATTACCCTGTCTCTCACCATCCATTACAACTGTCAGCTCCCCAACTAAGGAGTGGGGGCTGAAACCCAGGTCTGGCAAGAGCTTCACTCTTATTTCTCATTTATCTGTACTGGCGTCCATTAGAGACTCAGGACTGGGTTTTCTTCCAAGTTTGGAAAAATAGTGCATTTGCCAGTCATTGACAAGAGATAAACAGTGAACATCAAGGAAAACTACTGACTCTCAAGATAGATTCTTTCCCCAAAGGGTGCTCATAGAATATTTGCCTCAGAGTTGTCGACATCTAGAACGTCTGGAATGTGTTGGAGAGTCCTCACTAAGCAAGTGTACTGCAGAAGGTCTCACAGCTCCAACAGCTATGCACATTAGGGGAGAGAGCTCCCATTGCCCTAGGAACACTCCTGTTGTCTGATAACCAACATTCTACTCCTGATCGTCTGGTGTGATGGCTGGTAAAAGGCAAATTGCTCCATGAAGCCCTATGTGAAAGTTCACAGATATTTGCAGCTTAATGTTAGTAAGTGTTGGATCCTTTTGTGGGCATGAGTTACCTTTTCAAGAAGGAAACAGAGGAAAAATACACACTGATTCGAGGGAGGAACTGCAGATTGATCTATCCATTCTCTGTACATAGATTTTGGAGCCAGATTGGAGAGTTTGAGAGAAACAAAGTCGAGGAAATCCAAGAAAACTGATTGTCGTCATTCAAGAAGCATGTGTCAACACTCCAATGTTCATAGCAGCACCATTTACTACAGCCAAGACATGGAGGCAACCTAAATGTCCATCGACAGATGACTGGATAAAGAAGATGTGGTGTATTTATGCAATGGAATACTACTCAGCCATAAAAAAGAATAAAATCACGCCATTTGCACCAACATGGATGGACCTGGAGATTATCATACTAAGTGAAGTCAGACAGAGAGAGACAAATACCATATGATATCACTTATATGTGGAATCTAAAAAAATGAGACAAATGAACTAATTTACAAAACAGAGGCAGACTCACAGGCACAGAAAAAAATTATGGTTACCAGAGGGAAAGGAGTTGCGGGAGGGTAAATTGGGAGTTTGAGACTAGCAGATACAAATTACTATGTACAGAATAGATAAACAACATAAGGCCCTACTCTATAGCACAGGGAACTATATTCAGTATCTTGCAGTAGCCTATAATGAAAAAGAATATGAAAAGGAATAAATATATGTATAACTGAATCACTATGCTGTACACCAGAAACTAACACTACCTTGTAAACTAACTATACTTCAATTAAAACAAAACAAAACAGACAAAAAAAAAATAGACACTGACTCAAAAAGCAGTGGATACCAGCCACTTTGCAATTTTACCTAAGTCAGGCCTCAAGGTGTGGCTACTGATTCAACTGATTGAAAAGGACCACTTCATAAAACCACTTCACTTAAGAAAACCTTCTATTTTATCTCCAAGAGGAAGGGCATTGCACTTTTGAATGTGACCATCTGGACAGGAGAAAAATGAATGCAGTAATTTATCTGAAAATCATAGGTGGAAGAAAAAAGAACTTAAGGGAAACTTAAGTGTTTCATCAAAAGGAAAGGACTTGTAATCCCTCAGAAGACTGAGTAGATAAAAGAAAATCAGAAAAACTCAGAAATCTCAGTTTATTTTCTTAATTGAGGCAGAATAATTGTTTTCCACAACCTAAAAAATGCAGGTGAAAATGAAATATAGTCTGAGGTACACAAAGCCATTCTTTGAGCAGAGAAAGCAAAACAGAAGCTGTTTAAGGAACTGGGGTTTTAACAAAGGTGAGAGCAAGTGGAAAGTACCACCAGGCACGGTGCTGGCTGAATTCCGGGGCTTATCTGGGGGCATAGGATTTGGAAGCCCCACACTTGCTGACCCTGGCCTGGCACAAGTCTTGGTGATGGTAGAGTCACAGCGTTAGAAAAGAAAGATCAAGCCTTAAGTTTTACCCTTGTGACAGGGGAAACAGGAGCCTTGTAGACTCGTATCCTGGGGGGCCATTTCTTAAGAAAACAAATACGACCCGGAGCTGTTAGCAGCCCCAAGGGGGACAAAAGCTGCCTGAGTTTGTAGCTCCCTCAGTCAAGGGTGTCACAAGGGTCATCTGAGTTTTGCTTGTGTAAATGAAATATACTGCCTGCCGTATCAGGCACAAAGGATGCTGCAGCCATCAAATCATCAGCCACTACCACCGCCCCTGACAGTGAGCCGGAGGGAACTCAGGATGGAGACAAGCAGGCAGCCCAGCCTCTGCCTCCACTCCCAGCAGTGCATCTTGAGGGAACTCAGGACAGGAAAGCACGGGATACTGGCCCTAGATAGCTAGGTGCATATCAAAGGAACAATTTCAATGATCCCAGATTTTGCTTCTTTCCATACATGGAAAAGCACCAAATTCCTTAACTTGAGATATCTGACTTTCTTTAATTAACAATAATCTTTTGATGTTCCCGACTACCTGGCCTTTGCTACAAAACTCCTATGTATCCTGGCTCCTCTCCTGCCTCTTCAGGGCAGTCTCTTAGAGCGATCTGAGAGGCGGCATCCGAGGCTTAAGTCCTCAGAAACGTCTGCTGAATAAAACATAACTCTCATTTTTAGGTTATACATTTTTTCAGTCGACACATGGGAAAGAAGTCAAACACCCAAGGCACTCCCATTTCCAACAGGAGGTAGAACAAGCCTCCCTTCTTCATTACAGAGACTGAGCCCTCAGAACCCAGATTAGGGCTCTGCAATACAGGGCAAAGGGCAAGTTGAATTCCCCCGAGGACAACTGGCCAAGCGGCCATCCAGTGGTGGTCATTAAAATAAAATAAAGCTGATTTGTCAGCTTGCAGAATCAAATTTTATGTAGACCTTTCATTTTCCAGATCGTCATTTGGTTCCCTAAATTATATTCTACATTTGGCATCTTACCATCGTGGGTGAAATTTCCCAAACCTGACCAGTAACCTGTATCACAGGAGGAAGGGGGTGTGGGGAGTGGGGGACTTGGAAGAAGGGCTCAAGAACTACTGAATCACCATCCATAGGGTGGGACTTGGAAATGAGTGCATATGTCTCCAAAAGACTCACAACCACTATGCTCATAACGGCTTCATTCCTCACAGCTCCGAACTGAAAAAACCCAACTTTTCAACAAGAGAATGGATAAACAAATTTCAATAGAATGAAATAACACACAGGAATAAAAAAGAACAAATCACTGATGCAACAATACGGATGAATTCTGAAAGCGTCCTGTTGAGCAAAATAGAGTCAAAGCAGTGATTCCATTCTTATGAAGCTCAAGTAAATACAAAGTTAATCTATGGTGATAGAAATCAGAATAGTAGTAACTTTTGACTATAAAGAGGTTTTAATTACAAAAGAATATCAAGGAAATTTCTAGGGTGATGAATACATAATTGTTTATGTATACAAAACATCCATCACACTATATACTTCACATTAGTGCATTTTCCTGTGTATAAATTATTTTTTTAATTTATTTTTAATGAAAGTTTTTTAATAAGATAGGAATTATTAAATTATTTTTAAAGGTTTGGTAAATCATTTCCACTACACTAAATGTTTTGCTTTTTTAAAAAATGTTCAGTTGCATACACACACGTACAAACTCATTCCCTGCCCATTTACTGGTTATAACACTGAATGCTGAGTTAGTTAGTCTTGGAAAACTTGTACCTGAACAAAATAGGCAATGCATTTTTAAATCTGTTAAATTCACTGAATTGTATTATTTGCCTTGCTTTCGCAGTGTTAAAATTCCTAACAGGTATTTTATTATACTATGGTAAAAATATATCTTACCAGGCCTTGTAATAAAAACAAGTGTCAGTATTTAACTAAATGGAGTTCCAGTCAGGAAAATCATAAACTCCTTTTTAACTCTATTGTGAATTATTGTATAAGATGTCGTATTTTAAGCTTCAGGAGTTACTTATTCAAATATTTTAAAATATAGCTTTTTAAAGTGTAATTCCTCTAGTCTCTTGGAATTGATGCTGAAATCACTATTGTTTAAAACTAATGTGGTGGGAGGTATAGCTCAGTGGCAGAATTCATGCTTAGTTTGCACCAGGTCCTGGGTTCAATCTCCAATACCTTAATTAATTAAGTAATTATTAATTAAATACTGGATGACCTGAAATTGTAAGTTGGTTGTGCAACCAATCACCACAATGTTTGCATTTCCTAATTATTAGGACACTGCTGGTGCTTCTGAGGCTGCAGCCTGGCCTCAGCAGGTCCCACTGACTGCCCCTCTGTGTGTTCCAATTAGTGTAGCCGCCTGTGTCTTCACTTCTCTCCTCCGTGCCTTACCCTACACCTCAGCACGGAGAGCTCATCTGAGCGTCCACAGCCTCCTACGTGTTTCTCAATGATTTGGCTTCTCGATCAAATTTTCCTTCCCCTTCCTCTTTCTCTGCTACTCAATCCCATCAAATGCTACTTGATCACAATTTTGAAGCTTTAAAAAAAATAGCAAAATGGTAATTACATAGTCTACAGTGAATATTTTACTCCCACCTATTGTTACCTGAGGAGTGGGTCAGCTGAAAATACGCATTTTCCACCTGTAAGGGGTCCCTTCTGCATATGTT